GTTAATGTGTCTATAGAGGGCGCCATTCCGAATTATGCAAATTTGCATATCATTTGTGATCATACAGCATCGCAATTTTTATTTAGTGATGATTCTAGAAAAAAATTAAGATATTTGACTGCCATTTAATGTAGTAAAATGCTGTTAAAACTTTTTATATCATTAATTTTGGTTAAAAAGGGGATTTTGGCGGCCATTTTGTATGACGTCACATATCTCAAATTGCTCAATGCTGACAGAGTGTCAGCAATCGAATTCTTCAAATTGATGGTCTAAGGAACTATAATCCGAAGAAAAAAAAACTATAGACCCTAAAACAAGGTATATCGAGATGGCTGCCGGACTATAATTTGCTGGTAGTTGCTAGGTGGTTGCTACCGACGAAACACCAAAATGTGAGATCAATGACTTTTTTCTCACCATTGTGATTAAATTCTCTAAACCTTGAAATGCATATGCATGAGGAAGAACACATTCATACAACATCTAAAGAGTTTTCTCTGGAATGTATGATTTATTTAGAAATCATGTTTAGCGTTGAATTTACACTAACAAGATTGATTTGTAATATTTAAGTTTTTCATCTTATTGTGGAATCATTGTGAATATCTCACAATTGCATGCATAAAATGTGTGTAATAATATAAGAAAATTATCTCTCTTTCTCTCTCTCTCTCTCTCTCTCTCACTTTCATGTGTATTTGGCATAATATAAATGATAAAAAAAAAATCATACATGAATGCTCTCAAACAAATGTAGCTGGAGTACTACTTACCCTAAATAGAATACATTATACTTTATAATTACTTGCGGTTTCGAAATTAAAACATTCATGTATCATTCTTAATATTTGAATAGCCTCATTGGTCTTCAAGTAATAGAATCATACCTCATTACTTTCACATGTGCTGATTCATCTTAAATGATTAGAATACAATTTAAGTCAAGCCTGAGAACTGAGAAGGGTACCGGTATTTAATAATGCACAAGTTTATCAAATAGTCATGTAATATACATTATGTTGCTTGACTAAATTGGCTTATAAAAAATGATTTTGAGAAATAATTATGTACCGGTAGTTGCATATTTACAACAAGGATTTAAGGATATCTGATGATAATCAAGTTCATACCTGCACTTTAATAAAAAGACATCAAAACAAATATCAAGGAACAATATGTTTATTTTCTAAATGTATCAATGTTGTTTCTACAATTGTATACTTAGAATCAATTCCCACTGATTGCACAAATAAGTTTAACTTGAAATATCTATAGATCAGTTTTAATCCATAATGAAATCTTTAGAAGATGGTATAGAAATATACAAAAATTACAAAGAAGTTTTTTCTTGAAGCACTACAAATTCTAGACTTTAATTTAGAGACGATAGGCATATTCTCTTACTTCATGAACTAATAAAACCATTTGTGTCAGACCATTTGAAGGTTAATTGGAAGACAATTGTATGGACTGGATGAGCATGCCTGTGTCAGCTAGAAATCATTATCTTACATCATCTTAAGCATATTTGCTGTAGTCTGTAAATTAGTGCTGAGAAGTCTTAAATTCCAGTAATCCTACTGGTAGTTAATCATAAAGTTACATCATCATTCTGTCTCCCCCCCCCCAAAAAAAAGGGTTCACCTTTAATATGAAAAATCTGTCCAGTCCACCCTTCAAAAAGAGAAGAAAAAAGGTTGAAGTTTAAGCTGTTTGGGACTATAACTATTCTAAAGTCTGTATAAGTTTTTAAACGAATGTTTGAAAAATAATGCTGAATGATTGGAAGCAGCATCAAGTTTATTTCTTCGAGAAATTGAGGATGTTTTAAATCATAATCAAGGCCCACGGTCCCATGCGCTAGCACATCGACATAAGTTAATAAAACACATAACTTGACCGGTACTAACTCAACATCTGAAAAAATGTAATATGAAGCACATGGATTGGCTTCTATTACAGGATTACAGTGAAATCCTGAAGACTCATGAAGGTAACGCCTACCAGTAGGTCACAATTGCTCTTTGGTTAAGATACTGCGGCCGTATGTCCCCAAAATCAAGAGTTATTATAAGATGGGTAGAAGAATCCCTGCAATCTGATTGGTCAATTACCATGTAATTATTTTTACTGGATGCACGCGATATCGGCGATCGATACCACCGATATCCTTTTTTCTTCAATAATTCCCTTTTTTTTTTTCTTTTTTTTTTTCTTTTTTTTTTTCTATGTTTTTTTAATGATTTTTTTATAATTTTTTTTTGGTGATAATTATTTGTTTTTCATGTTTTTTGATAATTATAATCTGTTTAAAAAACAAATATTCCATAATTTTTTTTTTTTTTTTTTTTAATTTCATGATAAGTTAAAAATCATGCGTCCGGTAAAAAAATCATGCGTCCGGTAAAAAAAATCATGCGTCCGGTAAAAAAAATCATGCGTCTGGTAAAAAAAATTACCGGACGCAGGATTTTGCCATGCATCCGATAAATCTGTAAAATAACAAAATTTTGTATTTTTGAGAATTTTTGGGGCCCCATCTTATAAAACAGATGATGCACAGGTTTAATTCGTGGGTCGGTGGAATTGTGTGCACGCGGTACCTTTGAATTTGGTCTAAAACCCACTCGGCTGCGCCTCGTGGGTTCAAACCATTCATAGGTACCTTGTGCACACAATCCCTACCGACGCACTCAAACCTGTGCATCATTTGTATACTGGGGTATTCACATAAAAAAATCCCTAAACATGGGTCCCATTTTAAAGAAAAATATCCCTAAATATGGGTCAGTTTTGTCAAAATTTCCAAAATGTTTGCGCGTTTGCATGGCATACACCCGAAAGTTGGCTCTCTCAAGAAGAAAATGTGTGTTGTAGAACCTGTCTACATTTAAAGGCCATCTGCTACAGTGGCCATTTTTGTGTTGAGTGTACCTTCTCTGAGCAATGAACGATTTTTAACAACCGATCATGGATGATGCTTTAAAACTCAAGTTCTTGATCTATGAATAATAATAATAATAGAGTACCGAAGCTGTGACATCATAAAAATCTGTTTTTAGAATTTCTCAATTTTTTCTTCATTTTCTGAGAGAACATCACAAATAATGTCCAAATGTCGAAAACCAATTGAATATGTTAATTATTGGCTGAGATATGACCATCTGAATAAATATACTCCCCATAGGAACTCGGTGTTATATGCTCTGGCTCCTAATGGGTAGGAGCCAGAGCATATAACACTGAGTTCCCATAGGCCATATATTCATTCAAATGGTCATATCTCAGCCAATACTTCACATATTCAAATGGTTTTCGACATTTGGACATTATTTTTGGTGTTCTTTCGGAATATGAAGAAAAAAATGAGAAATTCTAAAAATAGATTTTTGATGACGTCACACTTCACCACTCTATAATAGATAGTATTAGATACTGTGCATACTGTACGTCTACATATTGTACATGTACATACACCTGTGCCCCTTCCACTATATAAAATTCCAAGTATGTTATTAGGGATAGGCTGATCTTTATTTTCATACAATGGCTCGTGAATAGACCGAAAGCTTCATTCTCTCACTAAATGGTTGTACCACAAAGATTGGGTTTGGCTCCACTGAACTTACATGTATAAAGAAGGTTTACAAGTATCCTTTTTTTATAAAGGATTCCCTACGCTACCAGAGACTTATTTCTCTCAATGGTGCGATGTAGTTATTTACTCTATTTGCAGAATTGAGAGAGAAATTGTTGTTTCTGCGATCAACCTGGTTTTGCATTATATTAACCATTAAATAATCATGCAATAACAAATTTCCTCTCAGTCACACATTATAGGAAAGAAAAAAATGATCAAAAAGATGATTAAATTCTGACAAGATGGTGGATGTGATGATGATGAAGAAGAAGAAGAAGAAGAAGAAGAAGAAGAAGAAGAAGAAGAAGAAGAAGAAGGAGGAGGAGGAGGAGGAGGAGGAGAAGGAGGAGGAGAAGAAGAAGAAGAAGAAGAAGAAGAAGAAGAAGAAGAAGAAGAAGAAGAAGAAGAAGAAGAAGAAGAAGAAGAAGAAGAAGAAAAAGGAGGAGAAGAAGAAAAAGAAGGAGCAAATAATTACCTGATTATTATTAGTGGTAATATTATCATTATTAAATAATAATCATCATCATCATCATCATCATAACAGCGGCAGAGCTCACTGGAGTTACATTAAAGGCATGTGATCAGATGACAACTTAGAATAAAAGCTCTACAAGTCAGCATGAATTGATCATTTGATTAAAGGTAAAGACCAGTTATGGTCATGCGATTGCATTGTGAAAGAAACGTTGTGGAATCGATCAGAAAAGGTTGATCATCTAGCATCTAGCATCTGCAAGGTTCTGGAATCATCAAAATGATAAGAAATTTGGCCCATTCTTCGTAAAGTTACAAGCACTATACACAGAAAGATGTATATGGGACTACCCTATATCTCTCACAGACCATGAGAGAAACAAATTTACCAAATATATGAATTAGTAGGCGGTTTCCCGGCAAATTTTTTATCATCATGTATTAGTCGAAACATATTCTTTCACATGATTGGTAATGAGAGCTTTCCATTTCATTTTTTGAAATTGGGGCGTTTCCAATACTGGTCTTTACCTTTAAGCCTAATTTAAGCTATACCTATAAATATAATATTCAACAGCGCGCAACTTAAACGTTAGACCAAAAGCTTCAGTCTCTGATTTATATCGACGGTTGTTCTGCTGAGATTACAAATGTCAGCTTTATTAAAGAATTACCCATACCAGATGGTTATTTCTGTCAACTGAAACGTGAGAACCGTAGGAAAGTAAAAACAAAAACAGTTGCATCCCACCATTCCAGGTCATACACTGACTAATCAAATTTGTGGCTCAGCTAGCTCAGACTCAGACTCAGAGATGCATTGCAAGCAAAAATAAAATTGGATCAAAGCCAAATGAAAATGGAAACCGTTACATCTTCTTACCAATTTGACTAGCTTCAATTGTTCCATTCTCTTTCACTATTTCCGAGATGAACCATTTTATCTCATCTTCGGTCCACGTTCCGCCATTCAATTTCTTCTCCATGATATCAGTGAAGCGAAAGTGCCTCGGCGACCCCGCCACAGCGGCAGCGGCAGCGGCAGCGGCAGCGGCGGAGGCCTTTCCTGCGACCGAATCCAGGGGCTCGCCCCCGTCACCATTCGGAGATTTCACTGGCGGCATCGTCCGCAAAACCTTTCTTTTCCCGTTAGAACTTTCTTGTGCAGCTATAAGACAACTTGCAGAACGCTTAGCTGACCCTTGGTTGCGTGTACCATTTTGAACGTAAGCCGGTCCAGTCTTTTTCTGACTTCTCGTACGGCCCATTTGACCCGAATTCTAAAGAAATCCGACTTGCAAATTTCGGTATAGACTACTATAACTAGGCGTTTCTGTACAACTGACCGCATCACAACAAGGACTGAGCGACAGTGCAGTTGTCGAAATATAATTGGACTGAGCATGCGCAGTATAAGTGATGATACTCTTGCACGTGGAATTATTATTGTTTACGTTGTTTATAGGTACACAACAGAAAGGGTCGGATTGGGCCTACATTGGATACACATTACAAGTGCATGCCCACACACCAAACTTAACTCTCATATCCCTGCTTGTACCCATCAATATCTACATGATTACACTCATGTTTCGCTAAAACAATCCATCGGCTACTATAGGGAGAATTAGGGAATCGAACAGCTAGGGCCGGGTTAATTAACTTTAAAAATAACCTCTTGATCCCTCCCCCCCCCCCCTCCCCTCAGCGTATATAGGTATGGCAGCCATGCTATAAATTAACTCAATAATCTTGTGCTACTTTCTGTGTGAGATAACGTCGGTGTATAAATATCTCCAAAATAAGTAGGCCTACTGTTAGGCCATTAAAAAATATATACATGTTGAGCGTCCTCGCCCGCTTCCTTTGGGGGCCGCCTCCTATTTATTTTTTTTTTATTTATTTATTTTTTTAATATTTTTTTTTTGAAATTGGAATTTGGATTTTTTTGGGGGGGGGGAATTTTTTTTTTTTAAAGAAAAAAAACATGAAAAACACTGCTAAAATGGATCTATTTGTGATTTTTTTTTTTTTTTAAATGTCGGCGGGCATCTTGAAAAATAGCCCGACTGTCAGGGAAAATGTACCGAGCGGCCAATTTGAAAGAAAGAAAAAAAAGGGCCTCCTTCCTATTTTTCGAAAAAAACAGGACGCTAAACATTTTTTTATTTTTATTTGGCCTTTAATATATCCCTCGATAAGTCATTGTTCATGCCTTCTCAATTAGTATGGTTAGTATGGCTTAATTATATTGACTAAGACATTACGTAATAATAAACCTTTATATACGTAACACTTCTAGGTAAATCCGATAATACATTACGTAACAATAAACCGTTATATACGTAACACTTCTAGGTAAATCCCATGAGCTGATTGAGCACAATAAGAAACTTGAACCTGGATTCGAGCTGGGAGAAGCCATATCAAGAGCTACAAACAGCAGAATAGCAGATGTCAGTTTAGCTTTTTGACTCGGCCCGCTTTTGTTAGTTTGCTATGTATCAGTGTCTGCATGAGACTATGCTGAACGACATCATTGCCTAACACAATGATTAGGGTCTTTGCCTACAGACTACGCTTTTGTCAACTGGAGATGAGTAGTGAAAAGTTGTAACCCTTCATGCATGTCATTTTGGCACAGATATTGTGGCTTTGTATTCGTACAAAACCTAAAACTGGTTCAATACATGAGAGGAGCCCATTATGTTTGCAGATCATTAATTTTATATTATTGTCTTCATTGAAATTTTGCAGTTTGGTTGATCCTCTAACAACGGCACGGGTATACACAACATGCACCAAACCAATAAACCACTGCTCTAAATTACAAACCGGGTCTATGCATTTTTTGTCTTTTTTCCTCATGTAGACCTACGAATTAATTCTCTGTACTTCACTAATCACGATTTCCTCAACTGTGATTTTTTTCACCCAACTTTATTTATTTGCTTCCCATATCCTAAATAAACTATAATCATCTTTCATTATAATTGTATGTTCCCCCAGTCTCCCCCTCCCCCTCCACCGCTCTCTCTCTCTCTCTCTCTCTCTCTCTCTCCTAAAAAGAGCTATTAAACCACATAAGGGCATTCTCTAAAAGGTCATTGGTTTCAACCATGTTTAATAATAAATTTGTGCATGTTATGTCTTGTTTAAATAATGATTGAATCAAGAGATCATCAACAACTATTTCAAAACATCGAAAAATGTAAGCATTCTTTTTTGTCTTTCAATGGGTTGTTCAAAATTATCGAATATTTGTGGGGCCCCACAAATATTAAAAATGGTTATATTTACGGATGTTTTAGCCGTCTCTAAATCGATTTTGATCAAACAAAGATGATTTTGTCATCAAAATTGTATGCTCTTTCAAATTTGACACTCACTTTTCTCATCATTTCACACACATACTAAGATTAACGGACTTTCATTTATTTATTTTAGTGCAGAGGATTATGTGGGTAAAGAGACTTTTAACGGGGGATGCAAACATGGGATGGAAACAATATTTTAATTATTTAACTAAAGATGCTGGAGGAATTTTGATACTTTATAATAATGCAACCGTAGGTATATCTGAATTAGTATTACCAGCATTTTTGCTGGATGTTTGGATGGCTACGAGAATATTTTTGTTAAAGGAAAGTGTTTCTAGGAGGAATGAGATTATCTATAATAGTAGATTTGTTTTTATCGATGGTCATGTTCCTTTCGATGAGGGATTATTTAACAAAAATGTTTATAAGTTGCATCATATTGTTGATAAGGAAGGTAATATAAAATCTAATGAGGAATTTCAAAGAAAAGGTTTAAATAGTTTAGAAATTAGTAAAATACAACGTATTTTTCTTGGCATCCCGTCTTCATGGAAACAATTTTTAAATAAAAATACTCACTCAAATATAGATAGGGAATTAGATATGGATATTATTATGTTTGAAAAGGTATATATGTTAGATCAAATAACCTCAAAACTTATATACGCTTTTTCATTAAATAAGAGAGTAGAAAAATCATATGCAGAACGACATTTAGAACAGACTTATAATATTCATGGAAAAGATATACAATTAATATTTTTAAGACTTAGAAAGTGCACATTGAATAGTAAGCTTAGAGAATTTCAATTTAAAATGCTTTATAATATTATTTATACTAAATTACATTTATATACATTTAAAATGGTTAATAGTAATTTATGTTCTTTTTGTGGTAAATATGAAGAAACTTACGAGCATTTATTTTGTCTTGGTGAGAAAGTAAAACCAATTTGGGAAGGGTGTGGGAATATATTTAATTTAGTAGAGATTACAAATATAAATTGGAAAGGTATTCATCTAGGGATAGTTGAGTTAAACATAGGGAAGGAACAGTTATTAAATCATATCATAATTTTGATAAAATATATGATATTTATAGATAGTAAAAATAGACAAAAGCCACCAACTTATTTGGAGATTAAGAAAAGATTATTAGAAAATAGAAAGGAGGAGAAGAAATTAGCTGGGGACCGAGGTACACTCACATATCATTTTAGAAAGTGGAACAATTTAGAATAGCTTCGTGCAGAATGAAAAAAACAAGGAAGGCGAATAGAAGCAATGAAATGGACATGGCTGATATAATGGTCGGGATTCTCACAAAATGTAGGCGTGTTTTAAGTGGGTGTTTGTGTGGGTGTCTGTGCACGTGTGTGTGTATGTGTGTATGTAAGTATTTTTCTTTTAATCCCTTTTTTTCTTCTCTTAAATGTCTTTTTATGTTCATGCCTTTTGCATGCATGCATGTTTCAAGCTTTATTTGATGTAAATAGCAAAAGTTCATTTGTATTGTTTAGATGTGAATGTAAAATCATATTCTATATAATGATATTAAAATGCAGATTATTCTATGTATTGATTTTGTTATTGTTTGTGAAAAGCAATCGAGAAAATGAAATATCATTGGAGAGAGAGAAAAAGGAAAACAAAAATTGTCAAATATGGTCTAGCGCCATCTTTTGTTTAAAACATTATAGGAATATCTTCAACACTCATTGCCATTGGTCTTTTCTGTTACAATATTTTAAAGTCGCAAACCGATGCAACTTTTAAGTTCTCAAAAGTTTAGTTTAGTTATTGCGTAGTATATTGTATATAATGTTTATACCGTGTATACATGAATTACATAGGTTCACATTTAGTTTATATTGAATAAACTTGTGATCAAATGAGTTTGTATTTCATATCCATTTGAGTTGTCCATAATGCATCCCATGAAAAAAAAAGAGAGATTACATGGACAAAATATGAGGCAAATAGTTTTTTTTTTTGAAATATTTGTTTTGTAATGCCTTTTTATGTTCATGCCTTTTTCATGCATGCATGTTTCATGCTTTTTTTATGTAAATAGTAAAGCTCTTTTGTATTATTTAGCTGTGAATGTAAAATCATATTCTAGATAATAATATAAAAATGCAGATTATTTTATGTATTGATTTTGTTATTGTTTGTTATTATAATTTTTGTTATTGTTTGTGAAAAGCGATGGAGAAAACAAAATATCATTGGAAAAAAAAAATATAGTACGCATAGTACGCATAGTGCTTGCAAATTCGAACCCGTTATTTAGTCAATTCAAAACATTAAAGGTTTATGATATACATACGCTCCAAACTGCCATTTTTATGTATAAGTACACTTCCAAAACTCTTCCAGCATCTTTTTTAAACTTTTATTTATTAAATGTAAACGTACACTCATATTTAACTCGACATGCTCATGATTACCATCTTAATAATCCCAAACTTAGTTTAGCCCTACGATCAATTAGACACCATGGACCAGATATTTGGAATAACTTACCAAACCATATTAAAACTAGGACCTCCCTGTATTCTTTTAAAGCTTATTTGAAAGCATATTTGTTAACTCAGTATAGTTTACTAGATCTTACATAGAAATTTAAAAATTATCTAATTTGTTATGTCTTGAATTGTTCTGTCTTTGTTTGTCAACAGAAATGGACCCTGCATACATTTAATATTATCACCCGTTACTGAAACCAACACACAATTAATATCAAGGTATTAGTCTCTTTTTATTCCACCAAGCTAAATTTTTGCACCTTGCACAAATGCACTTCTCAACACGAAATATTTCACTAAATTTGTTTTGTTATTTTCGCTCAAAATTAATTCAGCCATGCTCACTTTTAATCACTTCAATTATATCTTATTTAACATTGAATACAATGCAGTTGCATGGGTTGTTCTTTTATTTTGTTAACTCGGCAGAGGCCACGGTCATGTTCAAGCATTTACGCTTACGACATGTGGTCTCCTGCTTTTTCCTTTTGTATGAAACTTTTATTTT